TAAAAACTGTCATTAGCCTTTTCTCTTTTTCAATAAAACATTTTTTTGGTTTAGGTCTTTGCTCTCCACGAAGTATTTGTTCGACCTGAGTTTCAACATTTGCTGTTCTTTCTGTATTTCGTTAATTATCTTATAAGCACTTACATTTAATCCTCCAACTAATGTCTTCCAACAATGGTGCCAGGCCTTCACGACATTCTGCGTTCTCAGAACACCTAGCTCGATTGAATCATAAATAGACCATAAACTTGATGGAAATAAAGGCAAGCCACGAGTTGCTACAGTTTTATCACGTGATCGATATCGTACTTTTCTAAGGACATAATATTCCTCTAACCACTGAGTTATATTACTTGCCTCTGAAGACATACTTACCTTCAGAATTTCAAACGTGGCAGAAATTTCTTGAGCTGGAACGAATGCTAAAGCAAATAAATGGTGGATCATCAAACTAAACCAAATATTGTTTCCATATCGGGTGGCCAACCCATTTTCCTAAATTTTGCCCATCCACTTTGATACAGGTGGAAGTAGCAACCCTTTTGAACTGCATCCAGGAATTCATGATGAGATGTGTTGATAGGTGCCAACTCGAAGTCAGTAATGATTCGAGAAGGCATTAATTGAATATCGTTATCTTCAGCAAACTCTGATAAGTTGCTAAAAAACCACCATAATAGGGATAGTAAAGAAAACAAAATTTTAACTATTTTTTAAAACATTAAGAGATAAGCAAGTTTACTTAATAAGGATAGTAAAAAAATATTTTTCATTGGTTTAAAACATATTAGGATATTCTTAGTGCTCAGCACAATCAAATAATTTATTTTATGACCGATTTCTAAATCAGGCAATGCATATGCATTACTCGATTTTGAATATCAAATTTTTGTTTGATTATGCTGAGCACTAGATATTCTGCGGTACAGATTGAATCTATGTGCTCCAAAAACTTTGTTACCCTACCTATACATTTCTTCTGATTTGTGTGTCATGAGAGCATACACTAACGGTAAGATCCTTGAGTTACTTTCTGAGCCTACAGGAGCGTGAATTGTGTAAAGTTGGCAAAAAATGGATGGAACCGTCTTAAAGATTCTGTTCATTATCCAGAATGAGGCTGTAGACAAATGCTGAATATTTTCTTTAGTTGTGAATATTAGAAGCTATTTTTCCTCAATCTTATGATCCTTAACTAAAAAAGTGTCACCACCTAAAGTATTGCAGAGTGAAGGTGGCAAAATAAGATCTGAAGCACTTTGTGGTTCTTGTAATCTTTCATTTTTTTGAGCACGAGTTACCACTCTGCGAAGGGCACTGAGCGTCGGCATATATGGTCTGACTTCTTCAGGGATACTATTCATATTATCTTGAATAAGCTGAGTTGGTTTTTCCCTAGTCTTCAAGGCACATTTTTTGATTTTAGCAACAGCTTTAACAACTTCAGATCTGCTCGATTGAGGAGCATAGATATGTTCTGATGATTGTTTTAAATAATATAAGCCATTATTTAAAACTGTTACTGCCTGACCCTTACATTTAATCAACTTATTCTTCTTACAGTACCAGTAGTATCTATCTCCATTATTCTTTTCTTTTACCATTAAATATCCGTCAACATTTATTTTGTTATTGCCTTTTTGAGACGGCACAATTTCACAAATTTCTTCTTTACTCATGTTATTTTTTTTATTAGATTTAATAATAGAATGAATGAATGATAGAACAAATGGTAAGAACAATAGTGAAAAAGGAGAATACGAAAACCTGCACTATTGAAAGTAAAGTTAATGAATAAAAGGAATTTTTTTTTTTATCTCTTTTATTGTGTATTAATATATTATACTTTCGAATTATGACCACCTTAAATATAAGTTTATTAAATGAATTCTGATAGATTTATGATATAATTAGAAGTGTAATATTACAGCTATAATATATGGAGATCAG